TGAAAATGGTTGAAAATAGCTGAATTTGCAAGTTTTTACCTCCCTACTTTCTTCAAGTTAGCTTCTGTTAATAATTCAGTGTAAAAGTCTGGTAGATCTTTTTCTATGCACACAGTTAGTCCATAACTTTGAAAGATCTCTGCACTCTTATTTTGACAAGTATCTTATATCAAGCAGCAGGGAAAAGAATGACCAATATGTGACTCTTGCCAGGTTTTAAAAAGAATTCAGCCTCATACCTCAAGCAGAGAGAAATTGAAGCTTCAAAAACATGTTTTAAAAATAAATGGTCAAGAAGCCCATCATTATTTGGAACTAGCTCGAGCAAGGGCGACCCGAATTCTGGGAACTTGAACACTAGCAGGTTTCTAGCTGTCAACATTGGAAATCAAATCTTCAGGGGCCAAAACATTTGAAATAAGTACGTGGTCAGACGCATAGCTGGTGTAGACTCCAACTGACTAAAATAAACACCAAAATAGCAACAGAGTCTTTCCCAGCAGCCCCTTTAGCTTGCAAGAAATTTCTGTTATATTTTCTTAAAAAGGAACCATGCTTCCACTGGAACCACCATCCCACTCGAACTGCATAAGCACTGAAGACACACAGCTTTGTGATCCCTGGTTTCCACTCTGGGTAGTGCTTGTGTTACTGTTTCAGAACCAGCATCCCTGTCTTGTAGAGACTGTGCCCCAAATGTTTCCAAGTCACCTGTTTGGAGCTTGTATCATACATTCCTGTAGAAGGCAGTCTATGTGGGATTTGCAAATTCCTAAAGCAGACCAGACACTGTGGTGGTGCCTGATGTACCTAATTGTGTACACTGTAGAAAGATGAGACCTCGGGTCACATTGTCTTTAAAATATGTTTTCTTTAAGCATTCTATCTGGGGAAGTCTGGAATGTGGCCCTAATCTCAGGGCCAGGAACTCTTGTCCTTGTGCCTTGCAGGTGTCAAGGTCCTGGAATCCCCATCTCCCAGGACCTGGGACAGAGCAAGTGGCAGGAGCCTGGAGCAAGTGAGGAATGGGGTACGGTTTCTCAAAAACAAGCCCCGCCCAACGAGCTCTCAGGCCCTCCTCCTCAGGGTGTGCATCTGAAGAGGATCTTCAAATTGTAAATTGTTCACCTAAGGCAAAGACTACCTGTTGGTTTACTCTAATTGCCTCCTCCGCCCTCGGTATTCCGGGAAAATAGGAAGGAGTAAAATCATTTTTTTCCTTGGGCAGCTAGAAAGAAGGTAGAAATTTGCGGGCTGCATCCTCAAGAATAAAAGCAGGGTTTGTAGTTACTGTCTCAGAATAGATACAGGCTATATATATAGAGAGAGAGAGAGAGAGAGAGAGAGAGAGCAGGACACTGTACTGTCCTTAGATTTAAAGCTGTTATCATCCCTCTTCTGTTCCTTTCAGTAAGTAGTAATAAAAATCTTAAAATAAAATGTTTCTGTGCTTTTTGGGGAGACAGCAAAGACAAGTAGAGGAAGCTGCACATTTTCTCTCTAATTGCTAACGTGGATTTTAAGAGATGTAACCTGTAAGAATATGACAGAGAGAAGACATTATCCAACTGGAACCGCAGCATCGGCATTGCCTGGGAACTTACTAGACTTGAAAGTCCTCAGGCCCCACCCTAATGCAACTGAATCCAAAACTCCGGGAGTGAGGCCTGGCCATCTGTGGTCGAGAAGCCCTTCCAGGTGATTCCAATTATCAAGGTCCAGTTTAAGGACCAATGGGCAGTGGGTAAGGACTCAACAGAGCTGCTTTGACATCCTGGCTCTGCCATGTAACAGCTGAGTTGAACAAAGTTGATCTCGGCAACCCTATGAGGCAAGTGCTATCAGTTTCTGTATTTTACAGATGAGAAACTGAGATGCAGAGAGCCTAAGCCGCCCGACCAAGTTCTTAGAGCTGAGAAGTGGCTTAGGACCTGAGCCCAGGTTTGAGCTATTAATTGCAATTAACTGATGCAAAAGTGATACATTCATTTACTCATTCATCCAATATTTATTTAATATCCATGACTAGGTAATACTGAGAGGTGGGGAATGTAAAAATGAATAAAGGACTTCTGGTCAAGATGGAGGCATAGGCAAACACGGCTCGCCTCTTCACACAACCATAGCAAAAATTACAACTGAACTACAAAACAACTATCACCCAGAATCGTCAGAAAATCGAGCTGTATGGAAGTCCGACAACCAAGGAATTAAAGAAATCACATTCATCCAGCAGAGTAGAAGGGGCAGGAATGCATGGAGACACACAGGGATGCAAAATGGGCCATTCCACACCCACATGTGGTAGATAAAAATTGGGAGAGATACTTCAGGAGCGAGGGATCCCAGCCCCACACCAGACCACCCAGCCCAGGGTTCCAGTGCCAGGAAGATAAGTCCCGAGTATTTCTGGCTATAAAAATCAGTGGGGGTTAGGGCAGCAGATGAAACTGTGGGATTCTCAGGTGTCTCCTCTGAAAGGGCTTGCAACAGGTTTATGCAGACTCACTCCCTCTGGGCTTTCCACCAGGGCAGCAGCTTGAAGGGCACCAGTGGCATATGGGGAGAAACTGAAGTGTCTGGCATCGGGGCAAGTGTCAGGGGACAGCTTCATCCCAGACAAAACTCCAGAGGCCAGGCAGCGGCATTGATTCCTTCAATGCCGCAGGGGGTCTGCGGCATTGAGCCCTCCCCCACGCAGAGCCACAGAGCGGAGACACTATGTCTGAGATTCCATTGCACTGGTTCACATGAGTTGCCCCGCCCTGGCAATTACCTAAGGTTCCGCCCCATCCGACTTATGGGAGTGCTTTTCTGTAATAGGCCATCCTGCTAAGACAAGGAATCAAAGCAGCTCTACCTAAGACATAGAAACAAACACAGGGAGGCTGCCAAATTGAGGAGACAAAGAAATATGGCCCAAATGAAAGTACAGAACAAAACTCCAGAAAAAGAACTAAATAAAATGGAAATAAGCAATGTATCAAATGGAGAGTTCAAAACACTGTTATTAGGATGCTCAAGGAACGCATTGGGTACTTCAATTGCATAAAAAAGACCCAGGCAGAAATGAAGGTTACACTAAGTGAAATAAAGAAAAATTTACAGGGAACCAACAGTGGAGTGGATGAAGCTGAGAACCAAATCAATGACTTAGAATATAAGGAAGAAAAAACATCCAAGCAGAACAGCAAGAAGAAAAAAGAATCCAAGAAAACAAGGATAGGCTAAAGAGCTTCGGGAACAACTTCAAACATATCAACATTCGAATCATAGGGGTGCCGGAAGGAGAAGAGAAAGAGCAAGAAACTGAACACTTATTTGAAAAAATAATCAAAGAAAACTTTCCTAATATGGTGAAGGAAATAGACATATAAATCCAAGAAGCACAGAGTCCCAAACAAGACAGACACAAGACACATGATACTTAAAGGTTATGATAAAGAGAGGTTAAAGATGAAGATAAAAAAAGAATCTTAAAAGCAGCAAGAAAAAAGCAGAGAGTTACCTACAATGGAGTTCCCATAAGACTGTCAGCTGATTTCTCCAAAGGAGTTTTACAGGCAAGGACCTACAACCTAGATTACTCTCTCCAGCAAAGCTATCATTTAGAATGGAAGGGCAGATAAAGTGCTTCCCAGACAAGATAAAGCTAAAGGAGTTCATCATCACCAAGCTATTATTCTATGAAATGTTAAAGGGACTTACTTAAGAAAAAGGAGATCAAAGCTATGAGTATTAAAATGGCAACAAATTCACAACTATCAACAATTGAATCTAAAAAACAAACTAAGCAAACAAGCAGAACAGAAACAGAACCATACATATAGAGATCATTTGGAAGGTTATCAGCTGGGAGGGGGAAGGGGAGAATGGGGGAAAGGTGCAGGGATAAAGAAGTACAAACTGATAGGTACAGAATAGACAGGGGGGTGTTAAGAATAGTTTAGGAAATGGAGAAGCCAAAGAGCTTATGCGTACAACCCAGAGACGTGAATTAAGAGGGGTGGGGATTGCCAGACGGGATGGGCGTTAGAGGGTGGAAGGGGGCAAAAGGGGAAAAGTTGGGACAAGTGTAATAGCAAAATCAATAAAATATATTAAAAAGTAAAACTAAAAATGAATAAAAAGATCTCCATCCCCATCCTCAAGCTCATTACTTTGTTTTTTTGATTCAGAATAATGAACAAGTGACAGATCGCCTCGTTTTAAAAGATTATGTCATGTGTCTGTGTTTGAGAGGCTGGAAAGATTTTCCGTGACTACCAGCCTCCTCCTCTCAACGGCCATTTACAGAATCCACCACCGTTGGCAAATCAGCTCCCCGACTGTGTAGAGCCGGCCTGCAAACGGGCTGCTGGCGTTTGCGGGCTGGAACAGCTCAAGGCAGCCTCGACCTTCCAGCGTGGTCCTCTGCTCTCCCTGCTGGCTTGTATCATTCACTTCCGTTCAGCTGTTACAGGCATTGACTCGCCTCCGAGGGAAGGAGGCGCGTTACCCAAGAGCTGACTCTCTTTCAGGGATGGAACCTGTCGTTTACATCTATTTCCCAGAAAAATGGCAGAGGAAACAAACGAGGCCTGCTTCTTAGAACCGTGAGGTGCTACCGCGGGCCAAGCCCTGGTACGAGCTCCAGGGTCTTGAAGCTGGCAGGGACGGGCTCCTGGAGCCATCTGCGACCCCTCGCTGCCTCCTGGAGGCGGGGCTGGTCCTTGCTTCCAGCAGACGTGGTGAAGGTGCAGCGGTCATGACCTTGGAGTAAGCAAATGATCCTCCCTGCGAGATCGCCTTGGAGGACACCACCCCCCGCCCCTACCCCGGGGCCAGGTGAGGGACACCGAGCAGTGTCCACGTCTCCCCTCCCGGCCACAGGGAAAGAGGGAAGGTGTGGGAACCTCGACCCGTCCCGGGCCGATATTCAGGTTGTACACTGGGCGGCGAGGGCGGAACCTTTCTCCTCCGCCTGGCTATCGCTTCCAGCCGGGCCCAGTTGTCGAGGGACGCGGTAGTGGAGGCTTTTTTATAAGTATGGAGGCTGCGGGCCCTGAGGCTGGGGAACGGTCTTCGGGGCTGGAGGCTCCGAGGTCCACGGACGACCGGCTTTTCCTGGTTAAAGGTGTGGTGCGGTGAGCCGCGGGGGCCGGGCGAGCTCAGCCCGGGCTCTGCCGGTGCTGGGGCGGACAGTGCACCCGCCCTGGGAGAATTTCGCCGGGGTCTGCCCCCGGGTTTAGCCTGGGGGTCCCGCGGCCCGGAGGTCCGAGCTTGGGCGGGTGGAACCTCCCCCGGCTGCAGGGGCGGGGATGGGGACTGGGTCTGCGATCCGTTCTGTGTGCTGCATTTCTCCCATGCCCTCTGCGGTGTCTCTGTAGGCTTTTCCTTTTCTCTGTAGGCTTCAAGCGTCCTTTTCTGTGATGCATGATCTGTGGATTGCGTTGTGTGCTCCCCACACAGGAAGAAGCCTAGTCTCCTCCTGTCACCATGTGTTTGACCCCCTTTACCCTTCACTACGCCCCACCCTCCTTCCCTCTGGCAACCACCGTACAGTTGTATGTGTCTGTGAGATCTTGTCTTATTTGTTGCTTTCAGTTTTTTATCCCACGTGAGTAAAATATGGTTCTTTTTGTCTGACTTACTTCGCTTAGCATGATATTCGCAAGATCCATCTGTCCCAATGAAAGGTCCCTGTGCCCATTCTGTGCACTTGGACTAGATATCTCAGAATGGCCTCAGGAACCAGAGGTCATGGGGTCATGTAGGTTTCACAGCTCCTATCGTTTACCGTTGGCAAAAGCTGGTTAACCATCGCTTCTGGAATTTCAGAAGTACTTTTGAATGTAATTTAAATAGTACCTGAAGTTTAATTATGTACATCTTTTTAACTTCAGGGTTTTGTTTTTTTTTTCTTCATCTCTCTCCCCATCCTCCACCCCCTACCCCTCAAACTCCTGGCAGGTGGGCTTTTCCTAGGTACTGTTGCTGCCACAGGAATGCTAGCTGGATTTGTTACAACATTATCGATGGCTAAGAAGAGAAGCCCTGAATGGTTCAATAAGGTTTGTGACACCAAATCCATTCAAAGCATTATTATTGTTTACAAGTAAATGGCAGCTAATTTGCATAATAAAAATAAAGAAAATATCCGTGGCCTTTCACAGTGCTTTTGCAAGTAAACCTATATACACCTCATAGCTTCAAGAAGTGCACAAATAAACCAACAGCCTTTCTTATAAAGAGGTACTTAATTGTGTGCTTTCCTAAATTTTAGCAGAACAAGACTTTGAAAGCTCATCCAGTACATTTTCTATTTCCAACATGACCTTAGATCTAAATCTAGGTAATTCACTATCAGTTGTAAGAGGCCCCAATATTTTATGTACCACTAAGAAAGGAAAGGTGATGACAATTAAACCCTTGACACAATGTTGATTGCAAAGGGCATTTCTATTTCAGAGATGTTAAAATGTTGAAATAAAGTGCATCTTAGTATTGATGAAAAACATGTCAGGCCTTGAATTCAGAGATCATACATGCTTGTGCGTTGCTGCAGCCCCCTCTCTAGAAAAGTGCCTGGTACATAGTAGGTGCTCAGTAAATTTGGCCTGAATGACTGTAACGTGCTTAAGGTAGAAAACCCTCACTCCAAAAGCAAGGTTGAGCAATCACTGTTGTGGTCATGTATAGCACATTTACCTACCTGCAAAATTTTCTTCACATTTGCTCGTAGTTACTTGTTCTTAGGTATGGTTCTGTCTCTGCCCTCCCCTGGTTTATATATCTACTACTGTAGTTTATTGCTTCAACACCTGTAACTTGGGCTCTTTCATGTGACAGGCACTGTGGGCCACAGCTGTAAGAGATACAAAAATAAAACACATCTGTCCTTCAGGAAGCTAGCTCTGGTGCGAGAGAGAGATGTTAAATAAACATTCACACAAGTAACTAGATAATTGCAATTTGATGATTGTTCTAGAAGAACAGTGTTATGTAAAGAATCATAAACCAGTTGAATCCCTTTTCACTTCTATGTATCTTTAATAACCTAGTAACAATATTAAGCCTTATGAATATTGTAATGGCTGGAGACCACCTTTAAAGTGCATCTGGATCCCATTCTGATGACTCGGGGCTTACATTGAACTTCCCAAATTACTCCAATGAACCGCCATGAACTTCCCAAATTACTCCAATGAACCGCATTTCCACCTACATTACAGAATGTTTTCAGAGCAGAAGTACATCTTGTGGCAAAAATTAGTAAAACCTAACTGAGAGTGGAGCTTTGATAGGAGAGTTTGGGTTGATTTCTAAGCTTAAGTTTTCATATTACTTTTGGGTCACAGATCTTTTTTAGAAGCTGATGAAAACTAGGAATTCTTTCTCAGGAAAAAACCCCACAAGTGTTCACAAGCTCGTGTTCAACTTTGTGGTTCTAAGACTTGGTTATCACACATGCCCTTCATGGTCTAACATGGTTTTCAAACTGGTCCATAGAGTGCTGGGGATAACTGAGACCCTCATGGGGGTCTCTAAAGTCAAAACTTTTCATAATAATACTAAGACACTTGGGCTGATGGTACAGAAGCAATGGGCGGGGGAGGGGGAGGGGGGAACTGCTGGGGCCGTGGTAAAAGCTGGTTATGAATATTACAGGCAGTGGCCCCAAACTGAACAGTCACTGTCTTCTTCATTCCTGCGTGCTTACAGCTTTAAAAAAAACCATCACTGTATAAGGATGCCCTTGTTGATGCAGTAAAAGTGTTTTATTAACTCTTGACTCTTGAACATACCTCTTTTAATGTTCTGTGTGAAGAAATGAAATGGGAAGTACTCCAAAAGCACTCTGCTTTGTATCAAAGGAAGATGTTTTTCCTGAAGAAAAACAACTGAGTTGCACGATAAACTAGCTGCTTTTATTCACAGCATATTGTTTTTACTTGAAAGGACAACTGACAAACTATAGTTGTTCAGTAGTGGGTGTTTGGCCGACATTTTCTTAAAAATGAACAATATGGACCTGTCTCTTCAAGGAAGCAATTGTCAGTATATGATGCCAATGATAAAATTTGAGCCTTTAAGTGAAAATTAGATTTCAGAAGACCTTTATCTTCCTTTGCGGTCTTGACAGCTGCTCAGTACTTAAACGCTTTTCTGATGAGATTGGTGGTAATGTTAATGAAGTGACTTTTTAAAAAACATTTAATAAATGGTGTCAACATTGGAAAGATCTGCGTAACTTGGTAAATCAATATTTTCGGAATGATCATGATGCATGGGTAAAAGTTTCATTCAAAGTGCAAAATAAACTAATGGGTTTTAATGTAACAAAGTACAAAAAAATTTATTGCTGTGACTTCACAACCACATTGCAGCTAGCCTTTAAGAAGCTATTTGTTCAGTTTTGGTATAGTACCAAAGCATGAAGGCTGTTGAAGTACTTCACCCATTTCCAACCACATATCTGTGTGAGTCTAGATTTTACTTCAACCGAAAAAACGTATTGCAACAGATGATTCAGTGCAGAAGCATATATGAAAATCCAGCTGTCTTTTATTAAGCCAGACAGTTAAAGGATTAACAGAAATGTAAAACATTGCCTTTCTTTGCGCTAAATTTAGTTTTGTTTTATATTTTTTACAAAAATATATTACTCCATAATGGGGATGTTTTAAAGTGAATTAAGTAAAATTCAAAAATTTTTTAATTTTAACTTTTAATACATTAAATACTGATAAATATAATCCACGTAATCAGAAATCTCTGGGGTCAAAGTATAAATGGATCCCGAGGCCAGGAAGTTTGAGTACCCTGTTCTGGATGGTGAAATGCGTCATGTAAATGTCTCCCCTCTGGGAAAACATTTGAACTAGAGCCTTTCACCGACTGAGTCCGCATGAGAGCTCAAGTGGTTTGGTGAGGAGCTCAGAGGTTCTGGAGTGGTCCGTGAGTTGCACCTGACAAGCACGAGTTTCAGAACAGCACCGCCTGCGGTGCACGTCAAAGACGCTGCCTGGAAGTCCTCCTGGACACTGACGGTGCCTACTCGTCTGTCAGATACAGCGTGGTAAAGGTAACTGGGAGTCATGTCAAGACCCGTTTATATAATGAGCAGATAAAAAAGACAAGTTATCATCTTCCTGCTATAGCTACAACTTCTAAGAAATTATAAAATCTTTAAAATACATATATGTTTAAAAAAAGCCATCTACCTCTATAATGTAAAGAATATATCAAAATGTTATATCAGGTAAGAATACCCTATAGGGGAAATAACTAGATCAAACATTCCTTTTGAATATCAGTTTGACTTCCATCAAATTCAGCCGAAGATTAAAGTGATAAAAACTGAAAACATGAACTTGATTCTTTGGTATGCAGCTGACTTTCTGACAAACTGAACAGCTTGCTCTTGATCGTTCCTCTATCTGTGAATAACGGATTCATTCTTGTCACCTGCTAGCAGATCAGGGCACCCGTGCCTTGAGGCATGAGGGGTTAAAAATACAGTTGCCACCTGGAAAACAATGTTTCTGTTTTATCTTGGGGATATTTAATACCACAACTACAATGTGGTTTTTTAAATTCAACTTCCATATGTGCATCCTTTTGTTTTCATTTAAATAAAAAAAATAATGTGGCAGTGAGGGAAAATGGAGCTTTCATTAAATGTAGACGTGACTAGCGTATGTGTTCATAGCAGAAGATCTTTTAAAGCAACTCTTGTTTTTTGTTGTTTTTTTTTTGGCAAGTCAGTTTTCATCTTGAAAATTTTGAGCAGGATTTCTGAAGGTCATATGACCTCTACTCCAGAGGAAAAAGCTTGTGACTGGACTTTTAAAAATGTAATAAAGGTAGATCAATTTTTAATATTGTTTCCACAGAAGTTCATTTTTTGGAAGTATGTAGACAATAACTAAGAATAACTCCCTTCATCTCACAATTTCTGAGGCTGACATACAAATATAGCATGTACTGTTTTTTAAAAAATCTCAAAGTTTGACAAAATTAAGATTTTTATTGGGAATATTGCTATGTCATTATGGCTTTTTTAAATATGTAGTTACCTTTTTAACTTAATTTAGTCAAACAAATGTGGGTTTATGTAGACTTAAAAATATATGTACATATGTAATACATATATAATTTCTGTCCTTCCCAGGGAAATAAGGAATTTTTAATTTAAGTTTCTAAAATGAAATCCAGGCTAAAGCACTTAAACCGACTCCAGTTTAGCAGTATGTGGTGAATGGCACTGCTGCTGGGTTAACGTTCAGGCCAGTCAGAACTCAGTGCGCTTACGTGAGCCCTAGGGAACTCGGAGTTACAGCTGCACAAGCAAAGGAGTAGGATAAGGGGGTATATTGTTTTTATGAGAGAAAATGGCTAAAGAAAAAGTTTTTGAAAATTTTATTGGGTCTAAGGTATATCTACAAAAAGTGTAAGTCAGCAAATACTGAGTACCTACCAGGTGTAGGCATGTGTTAGGTCCATGTGGGGTACAGATAAACAGTTTCTGTGCTATCAGTCACTTTCACAATCACAAAATACACGTGTAAAAATACCTGTGTTAAATGTGTTGAACAATATAAAAAATTATTCTAAAAAAGAAAAAGACAAGTAAATGGAAATCTATTTCCAGGTGGAAGGCAGGATGTTATAAATTTGCTAATTTGATGTCATTCTAATGAAATGCCAATGAATGGGCATTTTCTCCAATTGTTGGGGGGTTGGAGAAATACTGACATAATTTTCTAGGATTTTTCTGGAAGAATTAATGGGCAAAAGTATCAAAGAAACTGTTGAAAAAAGTAATGAGTATGATGTACTTTCTGGATATTAAGACTTTCTGTGTTTCTGGCATAAAAATAGGTAATAAATTAGTTGTACAAAAACAGCTCAGAAATAAAACTCTCCATATATGTTTCTCTAATGAGTTGGGAGGAGACAGATTAATCCATAGAGTGAGGCAGTTGCTAAGCTTTCTGGGAAGTAAATTCCCTTGAGTTCCCATCAAAACCAAACAAATGTCAGATGAATTAAAAAGTTAGTGGTAAAAAGAGACAATTTTAAAACAAAAATATAGCTAACAGAAAAGAGAAATGACTGTAACTTTAGGACAGGGGAAGTTTTAGTAAACTTAAAGGCATTAGAATGCACTTTTGACCAAAGACAAAAACTAAAAAACAAAATACAAGGAATTAAAAGTAAAGCAAACTAGGAAAATAGGATAGCACATATCATAGGTCTAAGGGCTGAAGAATATCAATATATAGAGGACATACAAATAAGGACCCTTTCAGTGGGCAAATAACATGGACATACAATTCAAAAGGCATAAACATTTGGTTCATAACTTGGGAAAATGTTCATTTGCACTAACATAGGAATGTAAGTTACAAATGGTTTTATATAAATTTGAACAGTTTCTTTAGGAGTATTTTGGGGGATGTTGTTTTTTTACATTAATTTCGAACGGTCCCCAAGTACTCTCTCTTCCTCAAGTGCTGATTTTCACGGCAGCCCCTCTGTCCTGCCCCCAGGGGAGCCTGGCCACCGCTGCCCTGCCGGAGAGCGGGTCGTCCCTGGCCCTGCGAGCCCTGGGGTGGGGCTCCCTGTACGCGTGGTGCGGGGTCGGCGTGATCAGCTTCGCCGTCTGGAAGGCGCTAGGAGTTCACAGCGTAAGTAACTCCAGCCCTGTAACTGGTGTCTGGCATGTTTGCCCTGCTTTCTGCCTCCAAATCTTCCCGACTCTCGAATTTGTATAGTTCACCACCTTAGGAAGTGACGACAGAGAAGGTGACTAAATTCGTACTAATAACTAGGCAACTCCTCATTACTAGTAAGTGATGTAAGTAATTTACATATTTAAAGGTGATAGAACTTCAAATATAATTAATGACTAATTTGTAGCAAATGTTCATTCTATATAAATTGGCACCACTTGTTCAGTGAAATTATTGACTGTGGAACAACTGTATACGGTTTGACCTTCATGTATATAAATATTCTAAAGCAGTTAAAGCATTATAAAATTACAAGGTATTTACACATAGGAAAAATTTCAAAAGCCTCTGTGTGTGTGTATTTTTATATATAAAGTTTAAACTACAAGCTAAGAAGCTGTACATTCGGAATGACTGTTTTGCTAAGCCACCAGCAGGGAGTTCCGTGGACCCGGCCCTGAGTGACAGCGGAGAAGGACGGCCGTGTGGAAGGGCTGGCGGCGGGGGAGGTGGGGAAAGGGGGTTCTGGATATATTTCGAAGGTAGAGTCAGCAAGGGTTTGTTTCAGATTGGATGCAGAAGGGGAGAGGAAAAGTGACGTCAAGGATGTCTCCGAGGCTTCTGGCCGGAGCAGCTGGGGAGCGGCCAGTGCAACAGGAGCACAGTGGGGTTACGTCAGGTTCCCCCCAGGCGGGCAGGTTTGAGGTGCCTCCCAGTGGGGAGTCAGGTCGGCAGGTAAAAGTGGGAGGTTGGCATTCCAGGGAGAAATGCGAGGTGAAGATGGAATTGGGGGCTCATCAGTACCTAGATAGCACTTAAAGCTGTGAGCGCAGGCGACCTGACTAAAGGCAGTGGCTTAGCGGGGTCCGAGGAGGGACTCCTGGGCGGCCTAGGGGTTAGAGGCTGGGGCGCAGGGAAAGGAGCAGACGCGGTTTCCCCACTGCCCGGGGCAGGGAAGGCCAGGACAGCGGCGCCCTGGACACAGGTTCTCAGGCGGTGAGCCGCGCAGACAGCTGGCGTGGGTGCAGCCAGCAATGGGCAAGGCCCGCGTGGAGCGGCTGCCTGAGAGTGTGGCGGGGGCAGTTGTGTATGGCACGCCTTTCATTTTACTGTAGAGGGAAAGATAGAGGAGGGCTCATCTGTAGAAGGGGAAGTTAGGGTCTGGAGAGTGTGTGTTCATTTTCTAAGTTGGGCATTAACAGCATGTGTGCATGCTCATGGGAGTGATTCGGTAGAGGGGGAAGGGAGGGGAGAGTTGCTGGACTAATAGTTGTTATTATTAGCGTTATTACTGGCATTGAGTTGTTCACATTTGGCTTAATCATAACTAAACATAGACATTATTGTACTTTTCACTCAAAATATACTGATACACAGATGTTGCTTTTCTCCTAGTCTGACTAACCTTTATTTCTGAAGTAGCTGTGCAGGCAAATTTTCACAGACCAACAAAATTAGGTTATTTAAATTAAATTATATGCTTGCAAACTTGGGCTTTATGGGCTAGACAGTGCTATTTTAGTTTCTAGAATGTGAATTTCTCTGGGACTGTTAAGAGGATTATTGCCTAATAAAATATTTGAGGGACAAATATTCTTCTCTGATTGGTACTATTGAATATGAGGATACTTGGAATCCTTTTATATTTCATCTTAATGTCTTTAAATAAAAAGGGAGACGGCAAACACACTCTCTCCCTGCATGTAGGTCGTTAGGTGTAACAGTTTGATCTCTACAGCTGAAATGCCTCAGAGAAAAATGAACCACTGATACCCTGTCAAGAGGACACCTTTTGAAAGCAGTAGTGTTTATTGGTTTGTTCATGCAGAAGACATTTGTGGGCCACCGGAGCCAGGCACTGTGCTGAGAGAAGGCGCCCAGAGGACTTATTCGGGGCGGCTTCAGCTTTAAGACCGAGCAAATTCTCATGAGGTGACCCCGCTCTGAGGCTCGTGGAGAGCAATGCGGTATCTTTCAGCTCTGCATTTACAGAGTTTTGATGAAAACTGTGAGGTTGCCCACAGAAAAGCCCACCCATGGTTTTTCTCACTGTTTACTGTCTTTTATTGGGTCATTCTTTCTGCGACTAAGGAAAACAGTCAGAAAATGTTAAACAGAAGTGGTGCAAGTCTGTGCACTCAATAAATAACCGAGATGGTTGTTCTAGGTCAGAATCAATTTCAGTGTCAAATAATTGTAGGTGACTGCCTTCATTTGTATTAAATCTCCACTATAAACCCAGTTGTTTTTTTCTAAAGGGGGGGTGCCATCTAATGGCTGACCCAGAGCAGCTTGCATTCCCTGTATTAATTCACAGCTACATCTGCTGGCCTGAAAGGGAACATGCTGAAAATGCTTAAAGTGAAGCCCTTCGGTTTCTTAGACATATTTTGGATTTACTTTTTGTTCGTTCATATTTATTGTGGAATTTCATTTCACATAGAATATGTATAAGATAAATATAAATGTGTATTTTACGCAGCGGTATATCATTTAATTAGAGGTTCCAGAGAGGGAGAACTAGTGGAAGCTGTTTGGTCAGCAGGCCAACGTGGATGGAGTGTGCCCAGAATTCAAGGCGGGACCTTCCCTTCACCCTGCTGACTGGCCTTGGGCAAGCACGGCCTGGCTGCTTAGCATGCGTTACCAGTTACTTTGAATTATGGTATTTTATCATCAGATTGTGATGGAGGCAGCATTAATTTTATCACTGTCACTTAGTTGTGAAAAGAATGAACAGTGACTATGGGTTCACGGTCCTAGGTGACGGACACGTTGGGACCCGGTGAGCGCCACGCCACCATGGCACGGTGACAGGTGGTTTTTTAGCAGGGCAGATGTCTTACGTGTAGAGAATAGTTGAGATCAGGGCTCTGTAGTCAGTCAGTAGGACCTTTAGTGACACCAACTGGTAACTCTCCCGTTATCAAAAGAAAGAAACATACAGTGAACTTACTTAATACTCGAGAGCAATGGCTTGTTAACTTTTTTACCATTTACTATAGTTAGAATAAATACTTGAAAGGATTTCTGAGGAAGTTGAACATATTCATAGTTAGACTTCTTTTTCCTCCCCTTAGAAGAAAGAACGTTAGGTATATGAATAATTCCTGACTGACGTGATTGGAAATTTCATAGTTTTTTATGCCTGTGGGCCCATATTCTACATTCATTTGAAATGGGATTATAGCCTCAAAGTACTGCTCAGAATTGCCCGTTGCCAGCGTTTACTGTGGTTTGTATGTAATATGTTCATGATACTCCATGTAGTTAGAATTGACAGATAATTTACCGTTTTTGCCCTTACAGGAGCGTAAAACTATGAATGAAAACATTCTTGGTTACTATGAAATACTTTAAATTTCCAGAGATTTAAATTTAAAAATTAACTTATAAATGGAGTTTTTTCGTTTGTTTACCCTTTTACCATAGGATAAGAGGTATTTGTCTTTATTTACATATATTGGTATTTTTAAAGAAAAATATATCTTGGACCTATCTTTTTTTTTTTTAAACAAAATGACTTTTTTTTTTTTTTGGTAAATATATGTACTTAATTTTTTTTTAAAGAATTAATGTAGAAAAGTACAAGAAGGGACACATAATTACCAGACATCTGAGTTGTAATCACCTATCACAGTAGAAACACACTTCCAGACTTCCTTCTATAGGCACATTCACATAATCGTATATAAGTGTTTCACTGGACTGCTCTGGAAGCTCTTCTCACTGAATAGTCATAGGAACCTCTTTGCGCAGTAGAGCATATAAATCTTTATCACTTTTAATGACTGCATGGTACTCTATTGTGTATTATCGTTTCCATAATCAGTCTCCTGCCAACAGTATTCAGATTGTAATTTTTCACTGTTAAACATCATAGTGAATCTCTGTAGGCATACGTCTTTTTGTACTTTTCTTGGTCAAGAAATTTTTCCTAAAGACAGTTAACACTGAATCAAAGTGCATGTTAAAAATGTTTTTGATCTCTGTTGCTAAACGGCGGTCCAGGAAAGCTGATACAAGTTAGAAGGTATCAACAGTGCATACAAGTTTCCGGGCACTCTTGTCATTATGGCTTCTATTACTCTGAAATTTTTGCCCACCTGACAGGAAGCGCTCTTTCTCCCTCGACTGCGTCTCTCGGACGGTCCTGCTGCCCTAAAGGCTGTTCTGCAAACCGCCTGCGCACTCTCCTTTCCCGTCTTGCCTCCGCATCTGCTGACGCAGGTTGCTTCTTTCTCAAAAGCTCAGGCCTCTTCTTCTTCTTTTTTTTTTTAGTACGACATATATATATTTTAAATATTTCTCTAAAAACTATCATTTGACTTTCCTATTCTAAGGAAGATCCTTTAAGACAAGTAATCTAGGACAATATCAGATGCATGCTAACAAGATTTATTATCCAGCTCTCTTCAGTAGCTGTTACTAGGCATAATTTTTATGTTAATGTTTAGGCTCATTTCTTAATTACTGTATGGCCAACTTGAGGGTTTTTGCTCATTATACTCAAATCCCTTTCTTTTTGACTTTACAACCGATCTATGTCTCCCTGCCCCCAACCCCCTGACCCCCAATTCAATAAAAACATATTCTTGAGTGAGGATTAAAAAAAACTGCGGAGAAGATTAAAAGTTTTTAACTTCTAAAATATCTAAGAAGGGAGTAGACTTCATGCTATAGACTCTTTTTTGGTTGAGGTCAAAGATCAAAAACAAATCTTGAGTTTCCTGTCAAACTGTTTGGTGTTAGCCACTTCTGAGTCATCTTCAGAAGCCTGAAAGGCAGCCCAAACATTTCCCTCCTGTGTCCCTGCCTAATCTAATTTTAGGGCTTCCAAAGATCTTGACCGGCTTCTGCCCCCAGGAAGCAAGCTTCAGTTTCTGATTCTGATCACCAGATGTCGGCAGACCCAGCCTTGCTCCCTCCTCCTAACAGTGCTTACTGGAAGGCCC